GAACGGGGGGGGGAGGGCAAAGCAGCGGGCGGGAATGGGGAACATAGTGCCCAGGCGAGATGCACTGATAAGGGGGGGCGGTGTGGGCGGAGGGCGCAGTTGGAATTCTTTCGGGTAGCCCTGGGGCGTTCAGACACCTCCGCCCTGTGGTCGGCAGGGGGTTCAGCGGCCCTTGCCTTCCTGACTCTGCGGGCGGGGCGCGACGACGCACCCGACCTGGACCCCGCCCCTTTCGCTCGGTGCCGGTCTGCGCGCGCCGGCCCCGCGCGCCGGAGACATCTTCACAAAACGGGGCACTTATAGAACTCCGCCTAGCCAGCGGGTCGGGGCGCGCGTCGGGCGCCGCCACTCGCGTTCCCAACGTGCACCGCGCCCCGGCCGCTAAGTGCCGTTCTGTGCGCGTCCCCTTTTGCGAAGCGTCGGCTGCCCGCGTTGCCCGTCGCCGAGGCCCCGCCCCATGGGCCGCTTCCCGCCGACGTCCCACATCCCCCGCTCAGCGAAGCCATGCGTGCGCCTGGGGGCCTCGACCTCGCGCAGCCCGCCCCCCTTCCCCGCCTGTGCCCCAGCGGCAAATCCGCGATCCGACCCCCCGCGCTGTCGAGTTCCTCTTCGTGCCGGATCCCCCGTCCGAGGGCGAAACGATTGTTCGCGTTCTGATTGTTCTTGCGGCTGCCGCCAAGCGTCGCCGTGAAACACGATGATCGCTTCCGCGCTTGGCACTCGTCGTCGGCGCGACCGTCGCGCTCCATCGTAGGTCGCGAGGCGGCGTCCGTCAATCCAGACCGACCGACGCGCCAAATCAATTTATGATTGCCACCCCTGGCCCCCGCAACAAGGTGCAGTTTTGTTGTGTGTAGTTGTAGATGCGTTCGAGGGTCGCGGCGAGGCCGACCGAGCAGGGCGAGCTGAAGGTCGTCGCGGGCGAGGGGCCCTGGAGCTACTCGACCGAGGCTGGCCGAGGCATCGAACCGACGCTGGCCCGGGAGAGGCTGCAAGCCATCGAGAGATGGCCCGAGAACGCCCCCCCCCCCCCTCCCCCCCCGGTGCCGGACTGGGGCGCCCTAGACGGCGAGTGCTTCCAGCTCGAGGACTTGCCGACGGACTACAAGGGCGACGAGAACCCCCGCCTCCGCTTGCAGAGCTGGACCTCGAGCTCGCAGACGAGCAGCGAGACGTGCTCAGGCCGCCCGAGGAGCGCATCGAGGACGCCCAGTTCCCGCGCGCCCTAGCAGGCCGAGCCAAGGTGAAGCGAGCCATCCGCCGCAATAACAAACGGGGGGCAAGTTCGGAGGCCAGTTTCCGGGCATGCTGGCGCCCAAGTGGAACAGGGCGAAGCGCGAGGAGGATGGCAAAGAGGCCCTCGAGAGCAAGAGCCCAAGCGTCGCCGAGGCGAAGCTGTCAGGGCGAGCCCCCGTGTCGAAGACCACCTTCGCAGAGAAGCTCAAGCAGAAGCAGCAAGCGAGGCGAAACAAGACGCGGCACGACAAGAAGAAGGACAACGAGGGCCTCGAGCCTCGCAAGGACTTGCCCTGGCACGGCACGAGCGCTCGCGTCAGCGAGAAGGGCGTCCACGAGGGCAGGCGCGGCAGAGTTCAAGACGTCTGGCGCGTCAAGGACTGCTAGGGCGAGTGCCAGTTCCGCGTGCTCGAGGTCGAGGCGGCGGCGATCTTCCAGATCCGCTCCAGCCAGGCTCGAGGTCCAAGGGGGCGCGAGCGGAAGGGCCGGCGGAAGCCGAGCGGAAGCTGGCGCGGAAGCCGAGCGGGAGCTCGCGCGGAAGCCGAGCGGAAGGGCAGCGGAAGCCGAGCGGGAGCTCGCCCCTATCCATCGGCCCCCGAGCCTGCGAGGTCGTGCTCGAGCAGGGGTGTGCGCCCGCTAAGCCCGTCAAGATAGACTGGCGAGTGCGCTGGGTGAACAAGCGCACCGAGCTCGCCAAGCATCTTGCGATCACAAACGGCGAGTTCATCGAGAAGAACCGCGCCCTCGAACACGGCACGGCGCGCGCCCTCGTGGGCGAGACCGAGGAAAGAGTCGGCGCCCCAGAAGGCGCGATGCTAATCGAGCCAACGATCGCGGTGATGCGGGCTCGAGAAGATCACGGCGAGGGCGCGCCAACTGCCGAGGCCCAGAAGGACCAGAAGGCGCGGCGCGAGAGAGTCGAGAACGCCGAGCACCTGCTCATCTGCGCGCAGAGCGAGAATCCCTCGCATTACACCTGCCTCAAGGTGGCCAAGGAGGGCGCCAACGTGGCCATCGAGCACCGCGACGCCCTCAGGCAGCCGTCTAAGAGCGCCAAGGATGCAGCCACGAGGATCCTCCGCAAGCTCGGCGTCGTCGGCTCTGACGAGGAGCGCCCTCCGCCGAGCAGCGCGAGGTTCCAAGTGGGCGCGTGGCCCTGCGGCCTGTGGGTGACGAGGTGGATCGAGCGCGCCCTGCGCGAGCTCCGCGGCGAGGGCCGCCAGGCGCCAAGCAGCAGCGCCGACGCCTGCGCCCGGGGCAACGAGTGGATCCGAAAGCTGCAAGATGCGAGTGACAACGCGGCCGCCAAGGCAAAGGCCAAGGGCAAGGCCAAGGGCAAGGCGAAAGCCAAGAGCAAAGGATTGGACCCGCTGGAGGCCGAGCCCAAGCATCCGAGCATCGAGGCAGCCATGGCGGCGGCGAAGGACTGCAAGAAGTGCGAGGTGCAGAAGGGCGGCTCCAAGGGGTGCCGAGCGTGCATGGGCGGGCGCTTCGAGGAAGTGAGAAAGCGCGGATTCGCAGCGGGGGGCGCCGAGGAGTTTGAGGCGAAGATCATGGATATCTGAGTGCGAGCAGTCAGATGTCGAGCGTCACTGTCGCTCCAAGTGTGCCCCCCACGCGAGGCTCTCGCAAAAACCATGCTATCCCGAGGATGTCTCAAGCAATGCAATCGAGGGTTCGGGGGTATCTCAAGCGAGACAAATAATTATGTCGAGGGTGCCCCAAGCGAAACGCAATTAATTCGAGGATTGCCCACGCGAAACAAACACTTATTTCGAGGAGGTCTCAAGCGAAACGAGAGATTTGCCGAGGATGTCTCAAGCGAAACAAGCATTTGTTCGAGGATGACTTAAGCGAAGCGAGAGATGTGTCGAGGATGTCTCGAGCGAAACACGTATTTATTCGAGGATGTCTCAAGCGAAACAAACACTTTTTTCGAGGATGTCTCAAGCGAAACAAGCATTCGTTGATAGTTTCAAGCGAAACAACAGCTATTTCGAGGATGTCTTAAGCGAAACTAGAGGTTCGCAGAGGATGTCTCAAGCGAAACAAGCATTTACGAGGGCGTCTCAAGCGAAGCGAGCACGCTTGCGAGGATGTCTCAAGCTAAGCAACCCATTGTTCGACGATGTCTCAAACGAAACAAACAATTATTGCAAGGATGTCTCAAACGAAACAAGCATTTTTTGTGGATGTCGCCAGCGAGACAAACAATCGAGGATGCCTTAAGCGAAGCGATATATTCGTCGAGGATGTCTCAAGCGAAACAAACATTTATTCGAGGACATTTCATACGAAACAAGCGCGCTTTCTCGGGCCTCGATCTTCGACCCTCGGACCTCGATCGTCGATCCTCGGACCTCGCCGCCGTCGATCCTCGGACCTCGATCCTCGACTCTGGGATTTCGATCCTCGATCGTCGGATTTCGACTCTCGATCCTCGATCCTCGGCTTTAGGTCCTCTTAACATCATCTCTTTCTCCTCCCACATGCTGGCCTCCAGTAGGCAAAATTTATAATCCCCCCGACACCCCGAACTGTATTATCCATGTGGCATTAATCTCGGCATCGCTAAGTTATTCTCAGCACTTCTGTGGCGTGGCGTGTGGCTGTCCGCAGCAGATCCTCACGGACATGCTCCTTCTACTTGTCCTGTGCACGCAAGCACTTTGGTGTACACCAGCGCTGCGTTGCACGCGGATGCTGTGGTGTGCACAAGCGCTGCGGTGCACGTCAGCATTGTGGTGTAGACAGGCGCTGTGTTGCACATGGCTGCTGCGGTGTACACATTCGCTGTGGTGTACACTGGCGATGCAAGCACTGTGGTGTCCACAGGCGCTGCGTTGCACACGGCTGTTGCGGTTTACGCAGGCGCTGTGGTGTACACAAGCGCTGTGGTGCACGCGAGCACTGTGGTGTACACAGGCGCTGTGGGGCAGATCGCCACCTACATGCTGCTCGCGTCGTCGTCGTCATCGTCGCTCGTTACTCGTCGCTCGTCGATCATCGTCGTCGTGCGCGCGGGCGCGGCTGTGGTGCCTGAGCCGCACGGCGGGGGGGGGCGTTACGTCAACCCCCCCCCCCCGCCCCCCCACTCCATGACGCCCGTCATCGCCGATGATAAAGACACGCGCTCCACATGGCTGAGGCCGCTGGGGATCTTCGGGATTATGTGCCAGCGCTCCGTGAGGCGATATCCGATCCGATACGGGGCCGAAGTCGGGACTTCGTCTGAAATTTCTGCAGCCCTTCGGCCACAATCGCCGTGGGGGCGGTCCACGACCAGGTGCGGTCCTGGCCCCTCGGGGAGAGAATGGCTGGATAGTTCGCCCTTTCTCTGTCTTCCCTGGCACTTAGCTCCTCTCCGGTCTACTACTGGGGTCGGACGAAACGGGGGCATAAATGAAAGGGGGGGCCACGAAAGCTGCTGCACGCAGCTGATTCCGGCCCTCTGGCCGGGCGCTCTCCTTGATACATTTGCGCCGCATTGCGCCGGGAGGCGCCAGAGAAATCAGCTACGTGAGCTGATTCGCTACCCCCCTTTACTAACGCTTTCTTTTGTCCGGCCCGATCTACCAATCCCTGTGTTCACCGTCTGGGTTGATGAAAGGGCCACTGGGCGCTTCCTGTCATCTCGGAGGGTCCCATCGCCAAGACCTCAGGAGTTTTGGTAAGCCCCCGAGGTGGAGGAAGAGTGCAATGGCCTTGCAACCGAACGGGTGAACGCAAGGCCCCTTGAATTGAGTGAGTCTGCGCAGACAAAGGTGCGCAGTTTGTTCTCTGTGTGGCGATGCTGCCGGTTGGCTCGCTCACGGTTCGCCAGCTGGAGCTGTTGCCGCTCTGGTGCGACGTTGCTTTCGAGCTGCCGATGGCCGCCAGCGATCTAGGCCTGCAGCCGCATGGGCGGGAGTAGCTTGAGGGGGGAGGAGGAGGAGGAGGAGGAGGAGGAGGAGGAGGAGGAGGAGGAGGAGGAGGAGGAGGAGGAGCAGGAGGAGGAGGAGGAGGAGGGCGTCGGACAGCCTTACCCAGTGGTTCGGCTGACCGTGAGACCCTGCGCGAGAGGTCCGAGCCGCTCCGGGGTGGAATGTCGACTGCTTGTCCACGTGCCATACCCTTCTGCTTCTGCTTGGCCTCCGGATGGTCCCCCTTCCAGCTCCTCCTGCTCCTCCTGCAGCTGCACCTCCGGCTGCTGCTCCTGCCGCTCTCCTCGTGGTCCTCTTGCTCGTCCTGCTCCTGCTGCTCCCCCACCTGGGGGCCAAGGAGTCGCTTCTCCGCCTGGGCAGCCAGGCCCTGCCTGCCCGCTCCCCAGGACTCCTGTGCACTCTTCTGGGTTGCGGGGTCGCGCATTGGGCCTGGAGTCCAGGCCCAGCGATGGACTACGAAGACGTCGTGAAGGCGCTCACGGATGCCACGGTCCACTACGGCGTGTCGGTCGGCTTTGGTGGGGGGCGGTTCAACGTGGGCCAGGCAGGGAATATGATGGCCGCTGTTATCAAGGTCGAGAGGGAGCGCTACACCGAGGCGCCCTTCTGGATGGCCCGTGTCTTTGCCGACGCTCAGTTCGACGCCGAGCGCCTGCGCGTGGCCGCGAGGCGGATGCTGAACGACGTGCCAAATAGCAAGCGGAAGCCGCAGGGGCTCATGCAGATGGTCAGTAAAGCTATGACCTTCGACGACTCCAGCCCCATCGCGGCATTCAACGCTTTCAGGGTCGAGAGGACGCTGCTGCTGCTCATTCTGTGTTGCCACTGGCGCTGCACTCCTGCTCTTGCGATCTTACTCTTTCCCCTTTTCTTGACTCTCTCTTCCATATCCTTCGGATCTTATTCCCCATGTTTTGCTGCCCACTCTCTCTTTGATTGTTTTCCCTCCCTCTCTCTCTGGCTCTCTCTTTTTTCCCCCCCCCCCTCTCTCTCACTTTCTCTCTCTCTCTCGTGTCTCGTTACCACCCTATTGTTGTGGTGCAGGTGCTTTTTGTTTGCTCTCTCTCTCTTTCCCCCCCTTCTCTCGTCTTTATTATATGTACAGGTCTCTGGCTTATTATTTATGTTTGTTATATTTCTCTCTCTCTTTCTTTATCGCTTCACCTTACCCCTCCCACTTGTTCGTGCTTCTCTCTTCCTCTTCCTCTTGATATAACTTCATTCTCCGTTTGGAGGCCAGTCATGTAACAACGGCTGGGAGGACTCTCAATGGGGTCTTGCAGGACGTCGACGCAGTCGCCGTCGAGCTCGCGGCTATCCGCCAGTCATTGTTGTCCGCCCCTGGCGGCATGCTGCTCCGAGTGGGAGGCGATATAGTTGAGCTGGGTGCTGGGACGTTCACCCCGTGGAGGAGAAGGGGACGCCAATCGATGAAACATCCGCCAGGACCAGCCAAAACCCGCAACCAATGTTTCGACCCGCTATTGCATGTGTCTCGCCAGCGTAACGTGTCGTTCTAACCCATGCTGTCTCTCCAAGGAGGGCGCCCTTCGAGACGACGCCCTTTGCGCCCCCATCGAGAGTGGAGGCTGCGTCGCGGACAGAAGTCCTGGGGACAGCTGCATACGAGGGGAGGCTGTTCAGGGAGGGAGAGGGGAAGGGAGGGAGAGGTGCCAGGAAGGGTACGTAGGGGCGGGGGGGGTTCAACAAGTGATGCAATGGACGTGCTGATCACGGTGATGCTGATCCGCAAATTCGCGTTTGGGGCCTCGCTCGTGGCCTGGCAATTGCACCTCGACATGCGTGTGTGGTCGGCACGGTGTTGATCGTAGCCCTTGCGCGGGCTCTCCCAACATATCGAAGTCTTGCCTTGCCACTGCCACTGCGGGGCTTTCGGATCAAGCACCGCCCCTACAGACTTCTTTTTTTGGCAGGCTTCCACGCGATCGCGGAGTCCGTGCTTGGGACAGCGGCAGAGAGGCTGCAGCAGCCAGGGTGATCGTCTCCTCGTATCTGGCCTTGAGCTCCCCTAGAACGAACATCGGGTATTGCCGCTATTCGGTTTGCCGTCCTGGCCCTCACGTGGTCCTCAGGTCTTCGGCTCGAACTCCGCCGCAGACAGACGCTCATGCAGTGTAGTCGACCCCATCCAGCGACGCGCTGGTCGTGGCGCTGGATGGCGGCCTTGCCCCGCTGGTCTTTCAGCGCAACCGTAACTGAGTTGAATTTGAGTTGCGTTCTTCCCCAGCTCCCCCAACGCCATCGTCGCCAGTATCATCCAGCCGCGCATGATCTTCATCGCAACCTCGTGACAGTTGTTCGGATCGGTCGCATGCGCTGGCTGGCACCACGACGACGACGACCAACCGCCATCTGAGATCGGCTACACCAGGTGTCCAAGTAGCTGTCGTCGTTGTCCTCGTTTTCTGCCCCTGGCGTCTCCTGGACTCCTGCAGGCTGCCTCGCTCGATCTGGTTGAGCAGCTGGCCGATTACTTGGTTCTATTGTCCGCCGTGACGAGCCGCTGTCGCCTGAATAAGTTGGCGAAATATGTCATCAACGCTGCGGCAGAACTGGGGTCTCCGTCATCCGTATCACCATCACATCCATCGCCGTCGCCCCAGGTGGTAGCATCTACTCGCCTGGTGGCACCTCCACGAGCATGAAGGAACTCATCTTCTCGGTGGACGTTTTTATTTTCTCGCAGACGTGGACGTCCCCGCCCGATTCGCCTCATAGTTGTTGCAGCTGTAGCACCGCTCCCAATGTCGCCAAAGCATAAGCAGGTGGTAGGTATCCGAAATTTGATTCATTCAGGTCGTTTAGACGCTTGGTGGCTCCATCGGGCATCGTGGAGTCGTCGGGTTCGAATTTCCTGACGAGGCGCTTCATCGCATTGTTCTCCAAAGCGATTGGGTTCCCAGCAAAGCATGCTTGCGCCGTCATTATGTTGCCTTGCAAGGGGCAGTGGAAATGCCAGCAGTGTAGTTTTCACCTCTTCCTGCCAGTTCTCTTTCATGTTGTTAGACCTCCACTCAAAAACCTTCACCGACCTGCTGCTGAAGGTCTCCACTGTGCTGGTTGGTTGTAGTCCCACGGGAGCAAGTCGTGTTGGCCGTAGTGGTGATCACGACGACGATGACTCATTGCGTCTCTACCAGCACAGGTCGCATATACAATTATCTGAAGGACAGTGTTTTGCCGCTGCTGGCAAAAATCCGGAGGGGCTCACTGGGGGTTTCAAACCCGCCAACCCGCCCCCCCCCTCTTGAAAACCGAGGGGGGGTCTCCGGGGGTTCCAAACTCGTTCCCCCCCCTCGGTTCATCATGACGGCATGAGGGAAAGGGGTGGGATCACTACTGGTTCGACCACCCCTCCCCCCTACCTCCTTCCCCCCCTCCTCCCCCAAAAGTCGCCGCTGGCAAACGACTCCACCTCCTCTCCTCCCCCAACTCCGGATGGGGAACTGGTCGGGGACGGTAGTGGGGATGGTGGTGGGGACGGTGGGGACAGTGGCACAGTGGGGACAGTGGGGACAGTGGGGACAGTGGGGACAGTGGGACAGTAGGGAAACGATTCCCCCTCCTCCCACACTCCGGATGGGCGACTGTGGTGGGAAAATGGTGGGGACGGTGGTGGGCATGGTGGTGGGGACGGTGGGGATTAGGGCAGTGAGGACAGTGGGGACAGTGGGACAGTGGGGCAGTGGGGACAGTGGGACACTGGGACAATGGGACAGTGGGACAATGGGACAGTGGTACAGTGGACAGTGGGGAGTGGGGACAGTGGAGACAATCGGACAGTGGGGATGCTGGGACAATGGGGACAGTGGGACAATTGGACAGTGGTACAGTGGGGATCGTGGTGGGAACAGTGGTGACAGTTGGACAGCGGTGGGGACAGTGGGGACAGTGGGACAGTGGTCGGGACAGTGGGACAGTGGCGGGGACAGTGGGGACAGTGGGGAGAGTGGGACCGTGGTGGGGATAGCGGTGGGTACAGTGGGGACAGTGGGACAGTGGTGGGGGCAGTGGGGGCAATGGGGAGACACTGGGACAGTGGGGACAGTGAGACAATGGGGACAGTGGGACAATGGGACAGTGGTACAGTGGGGACTGGTGGGGACAGTGGGGACAGTGGGGACAGCGGGGACAGTGGGGACAATGGGGACAGTGGGACAGCATAGTGGGACAGCATAGTGGGACAGCGGTGGGGACAGTAGGGCAGTGGGAACAGTGGAACAATGGTGGGGCCAGTGGGGACAGCGGGACAGTGGTGGGGACAGCGGAGAAATTTGGACCCTGGTGGGGACAGTGGCGGGGACAGTGGGGACAGTGGGACAGTGATGGGGGCACTGGTGGGCACAGTGGGGACCGTGGTGGGGACAGTCGGAAAACTGGAGACAGTGGTGGGGACAGTGGGGCAGTGGTGGGGACAGGGGGGACAGTGGGACAGTGGTGGGGACGGTGGTGTTGGGGACAGTGGTGAGGCGGTGGTGGGGACGGGGGTTGGGACTGGGGAGTCGTTTGCCAGCGGCGAGTAGGGGGGATGGGAGGGGGGAGGGTTCGAACCGGTAGTGGACCCTCAAGGTTTTCCCCGGGGGGGGGGTCGAACCAGTAATCAACCCCGCCAGTTTTCCGGAAGGCGGGAGGGGGGATGAGTTGGGGAGGAGGGGGTTTTGCCGGGGAAAGAGGGGTGGTGGTGGAAGGATTTGAAAAGGAGGGCGGGGGGAGAATTTTCGGGGGGGGGACCCCCCTTGGTTCTGGAGGGAAATAATAGTATTTTTCACAGCAAAGCGTCGGTGGATCATGCTCTCTCAGTTATCTGGAGCTCGCTTGCACAAGCAAGACATTTCGTAATACGTGCCAGTTTCAGTGTTCTCATCACAGGTGACGTACCTTCATGACGAGCCAGGAAAGTGCAAGCGTCAATACCTGTGGCATCTCATGTTGGCCAGCCCGTGAACATTTTTGAATATTTTACGTGTCTCTAAGACGGGCACGTACGCCTTGACCACGATGGCAGCAGGGTGGTTCGAGGGGTTCTTGATTGCCGCAGCATGGGAGAGGGTTTAAGTGGATGGGGTGAAAGGAGGTCGCCGAAGTTCCATGACGATTTCTAAGGTTAGGGCCCTTCCCAGCAATCGTTTACGGAAATCGGTCGACTGGGGATTGCTTCGCTCTAGTTGGTTTAGTGCTGCCCCCCCCTGCCATTGTCTGTAGCCGTATGAATGGAGACCAGGTCCAAGGGCGTATGGGGCCACGACCACTACCACAAATGGGGGGTTCGGGGGCCCTGCCAGCTCCTCGGGGGCCCCAGGTCAGCTTCCACAGCGCTCAGCCCCAGGACGCCCCGAGGAGATCCTCAGAAAGCTCCAAGGGGATTCGAAGAGGCAAACAATAGTGCTTTCTTTTTGGTGTTCGAATAATATTACTATATTAGCGTTTTCGCGTTCGCGAGCCTCAGGCAGCACTAGAAGTCCCCAGCAGCTTCCCGGAAAGCTTCAAACTGGTCGAAGAGAACGCAGAGGTGTTCCACGACGACGTCAGAGTGACCCAATACGGCACAAAAGTTTCCCAAGACTGTCAAAGAGAGCCCCAAGAGGGTCCCAAGAGTGCACCAACATCCCGGAGTCCTCCAGGACGCTCCCAAGAGTTCCCCGAAGAGTCCCGAGGGGCTTCCAAGAGGCCCGCAAGAGGCCTCCAAGAGACCTCTGATAATCGTTCCGCGGCACTCCGAGAGGCATCCAGGCCGCCCCTCATGCACGACCCTGAGAGCTCTTAAAGGCGTAAGTCCCCACGGAGAGCTCTAGCACGATCCCAAGATAGCCCCAAACAGATAAAACATTCGATACCTTGCCCTGCTGTTTGAGCTTGTCTCCCTCTCTCCTTTCCCTCTCATCCCTCTCCCTTTCACCGTCCCCCTTCTTTTCTTCTTCTCGATCGTGTGACCTGGCCAGTCGCGACAAACGTCCAGCAGGCCTTTTGGGTGCACCGTTCTAGGATAGCTCAGTCGCATCATGCGTTGTCCGCAGCGGATGGGCCCATCCAGGTGGGCGTGTCTTTGGTTCGATCGCCTTCAAAAAAAACAGATAAAACATTCGCTAGGCTCAGGTGTGCCTCTTCCCTGAGCCATCTGGGGATTTTCCAGGTGCTCACATTGGGGAGTCTTGGAGCTTCTCGGACTTTCCCTGGCCGTCTCCGAGCGCTCGCAGAGGCCCATTTAGACCCACAGGAAAGTTGCAGGAAGGTTCCAAGAGGTCCCCAAAGCGGAGCACCCTCGTGAAACTACGTTGTCCTGATTTCCATTGCCCTCTTCGAGCCCTGCTAGAGCCCAACTCGGACAGCCTGGGATCTTCTCGAGGGTCCCAGGCCCGCCTCCTACAGCTCTCAGAGGCAGACTCGGCTTACTGTTACTTCGGGCCTCAAGGGAAGCCCTAGGATTTCCCCAAGGGGGCTCACCACGACAAATGCGATGACTTCGAATCGCACGGCTCCCTCCTATTTTGGCACGGTGTCTCTGTGCTGCCCCGTCTTGGGCTCCGAGACCTGTAGAACGTACCTAACCACGCGCGAAGCGCGCGCGATGGTTTGTTTGTGCCACTCTTCCGTAACACGTTGCGTAGTTGTTTGTTCTGGCCTTCGTCTTTTGCCTGTCCCTTTGAGACAATTGTTTTATCCACCCAAGGGATAACGCATGTTACCCCCCCTCCTCCCCCCGTAGCGGTAACGCCCCAGCCCCGATCCATCGCGCGATCCCGGGCAGCCCAGGGTCTGTTGTGCACGCGGGCGTGCACTATGGTGCACGCAGGAGACTGTTTTTTGGGTCTGGCGATGACCCGGGTTATCGGGCTCGCCCTCCCCCCCCGCCCCAGGATAACCTGACCTAGCAGGTTGTGAAGGTCCGCGGGGGGGCGCAAGGAGTTTGCAGGGAACGCTGTGAGTCAACGGCGCGGTGGTGTTCACCATAGCATGCTGGTGTTTGGATGCACGTTGGCGAACCGTTGGGGCTTGGAGTGGTACGGGGAGATGACGACGACGACGACAGACGACAGACGACAGACGACGATAGATGACGATGGACGACGACGACGAAAGACGACGACGACACCGACGACCGATGACGACCGACGTCGTCCATAGTCATCTGGACGTGCACGTGCGCAGCGCGTACACAAGCATTGCGTTGTGCACAGGCAGCGAGGCGATTTGGTGTGCGCATTTGCTGCTGTTGCAGCAAGATTTGTTGCGTATACAGAAGGTACACGCAAGCATGAGTGCACATAGGTCGCGCGTTGCACGCGGGCATCGTGATGCACCCAGGCAATATGGTAAATATACGTTTTGTAGTGGCGCCGGGGACCCTGGAAGTGTACGTAGTTCTGCCGGGGGCCCTGGAAGTGTACGTAGTTCTGTAGTGTACGCAAGCACTTTGGTGCACCAGAGCTTTGGTGCACGAGTATGGTGCTGAAGCATCAACCGTGGTGCACGTAGGCGTCGTCGTGTTCACAGGCAGTGTGTGTGGTGTACCTAGGCGCTGCGGTGCACACGGGTGTTGTGGTGTACAGAGGCCTTGTGGTGTACACAGGCATTGTTGTGTAGACAGGCGCTGCGGTGTACACAAGCAGCTGTGGTGTGCAAAGGCGTCGTGGCGCACGCTAGACAGGCGCTGTGGTGTACACGAACATGGTCGGCCAAAAACGGGGGTACCGCAACCCAGGCCAGAAAAATCGATAACCACAGATACATTACATATTGAATGTGATATGTTCGGGCTCCCAGGGATTTTCCAGATTTGGGCCCTGGCGGGACCTTGGAGGTACACGGAAGCGCTCTGGCGCAAATGTTTGCCATGCGCCGAGGTGCACGCGGCTCCTGTGGTTTGCACAAGCACCGCAGTGCACACAGGCGCTGTGGTGCACACAGGTGCTGTCGTGTACGCAGGCATGGTGGTGTACACAGGCACTGTTGTCTAGACAGGCGCTGCTGTGTACACAAGCAGCTGTTGCGTACAATGGCGTCGTGGCGCTCGTTAGACAGGCGCCGTGGCGCACGCTAGACAGGCTCTCTGGTGTACACAAACATGGTCGGCCAAAAACGGGACCGCACCCCGGGCCAGAAAAATCAATAACCACAAATAAGTTGCACATTGAATTTGATACGTTCGGGCCCCTGACGATTTTCCGGAGCTTGGCCCCGTCGGTAATGCCTTCAGGCGTTCACGAGTTTTGCGATGTGCGCAGGCGCTGTGGTGCACAGGGGGTGCTGAAACAGCGTCTGTGGTGCACGCAGGCGCCGTGGTGTGCACAGATCGCGCGATGTACAAAGGCGTTGTGGTGCACGCGGTTGCTATGGTGCACAAAGGCGTTGCACAGAGCCCGTGCTGTGTGCACAGGCGCTGTGGGCTTGGGCGACGACGACGACGACGACGACGACGTATGCGGCGCGCCTCAGGGGGTGCGCGCCGCGGCCCCAGGTATTGTTCCCCCCACACGCCCCCCCTCCCCCCTTGGTAGCATGCGTTATCCCCCAGAAATGAAAGAATGGTCTCCATCTTCCCCGCTTTGGAGCCCCCGAGTTGGGGCCTACGCCGAAGCTCCGCAAGCTGCTTTCCCGCGCCGTACAGGCCCCGCGTCCCGCTCTGGACCGAGAGTTCTTCGCTAAAGAGAGGGTGGTGCCCCCGCCGGGCTCCACGGTCGGCTGCATGGTGTCCAGTTCGGCGGAGGAGTCAAACTACTGGGCGGTCCAGTGCGAGTCTTTCACCGATCCGAGGTCTGCCGTGCTTCGCCGTCATTTATAAATTTCTTCTTCTCCTCCGAAGTGTTTCTCTTCCTTCTGCCAGCAGGTGCTATTCCTTATCCTTGTGCTCCTCGTTTTTCCTCGCCCTCGTCTCCTTGCAGCGAATAGACACACAACGACTGTGTTGAGTCGGTCGGTGAGCAAGCGTGCTAGTCCCGAGCATACGGCTTTGGGAGCCATGACGCCCGCATGGTACGGGCGATGATCGTGTGATGGCCCTTGCACGTCGTTTGATTTGGTCAGCTGGCTTCCACGACAGATCCATGCTGTATGCAATGCGAGTTCAAGCCGCACCTCGATGTACATCATGTCTCACGCCCTTCCGACTGCTCAGCCCCCTTTGTTCCATGGAAGTGGCGTCATTGTTCTGCACCCCGGTTGCTATATTTTCTTCTGCGTCGGAATGGCATGAACACAGCGCATATCTCTTTTCCATCGCCCGCGGCTTGACATAACGTTTACACATGTGTTCGATCGCCTTGCCCCCATGGTGCAAGGTCCGTGGCCAGTGTGGCGATATCCTGCAGGAAGCGACAGCAACGGGGCAGAGAATCAGGAAGACGCGTGATGTGCAAGCACGCCTAGGTTGTCGTTCGTTCGATCCCTTCTGATCTGTTGTCTCACCCCTCCTGTTTTGGGTTCTCGTTTTGAATAGAGCAATGTGGTCACCACTTATTCCCCTTCCTCCTTCACCTCCACTTCCTCCTCCTCCTCCTCCTCCTCCTCTCCGTAGCCATTTTGGCTCAAGATGCCATGCTCCTCAGGGGAACAAGTGGATACCGCTAGTCCGCGGCGAGCAAGACCCTTGGTGTCTGGCAGTGCTTTTCTCCTCACCCGCGCTCGAGTTGGTGGGTCAACGGAGGCTTTTCCCGTTCCTTGCCTCTCGAACGCCCAGAGACATTCATGGGCGGTGACCGCAATGGCGGACTGCACGCCGTTCGCGGCCCCAAGAGGAAAATCAAGAAGGCTCGCCGAGGTCAGACTGACGGTGCTGCTGTCGTCGATGAAGGCGATGATCTGGCTGCTGGCTCAGACGCTCCTGTCCATCCTACTACTGGGGCTTCCTCCACTGCGGCCCCTGCTGCGGGGGGTGATGATGATGATGATGATGATGACGATGATGATGATGATGATGATGATGATGATGATGATGATGATGATGATGATGATGATGATGATGATGATGATGATGATGATGATGATTATGATGATTATGATGATGATGATGATGATGATGAGGACATCAACAGCGAAGACGAGTGGACAAAAGACGATTACATCAAGCGGCTTGCAGGGGACTATGTCTCCAAGAAGATGGCCGAGCACAGGGACGAACTCATTAGGGACCTCCGTGCTGCTCTCGCGATCGCCAACGTCCAGCCCAAGCCACCTCTCGCCAGTGCTGCAGGCTTCGACAGGGATACCGACGCAACAATCATTCGCATCATGGCGTCCAAGCTGGTGGACTTGTCTGCAATTCAGCAAATCATGTCGGATTGGATCGTCAGCTGTGGAATCAAGGCCGAGTTCTTTACGATCTCATCCAGCGAGCAGGTCGCCAAACAGTTCACTGTCCAATTCTCTGGGGCGGCCGGTCCGGCCGCGCGCCGTGTCTCTCAGGTCCTCGGTGCTCAACGGCTCGCTCCTGGTCAATGGAAAAGATTCGAGGTCATGGCCATGGATAAGCAGATGGCGACCCTCCACATCAGCGCGGACAAGAATTCCCGGCACATCAAGCTGGAGATCCAGGGCCGCAAGCTCAGGGAGGCCTTCAAGAACGCGGCCCCCGATAAGAGGTGGTTCTTCGTCCGTGACAGGGGCTACCTCATGACGGGGTGGGGCCCTGTGCTTCGCCTCTCTCCCAACCCTGGGAACGTCCCTTCGGTGATCGCGCCGACAACATTGCGCAGAGGCTGGCGCTCCCGAAGGATCAGCTGGCGGAGGCTGTCAAGGGCGTCATCTCTCCACCTGTAGCTGCAGAGTGGTCTCTTTAATGGATTTGCTGCAGCTATTCATGGACGATTGGCATGCCCCCCGTCGTTCGCTTTCTCTTCTTGGAATGCCCGCCCCCTTCCACAATATCACGGGCATGCTGCTCGTCCGAAGCTTGCTTACCTCAAGAGGTAGGTTGGACTTCGCGCGTGGTACTGTTGCCATCCAGGAGGTTCACCAGGATAATAAGCAGTTCATCGACTTTCTCTCCAAGGTTGCTCTACGCGCGAAGGTCTACACCAGCTACTGCGAGGGGTCTGCAGTACGGGGAGGTGTTGCTACGATCCTTCCTGCTGAATGCCGCGCTGAGGTCTCTCAGCGATCACTAGTCCCTGATAGGGTGCTACGAGTTGCCCTTCACCTGGACGGCTTCTTTGTTTACCACTACAATGTGCACAACCACGACTTGACCATTGCCCAGACCAATGGAGTGTCGAAAGTTTTGGCTGCTGACCTCAAGGCGGCTCAACGCGATCCGCATCGCTATGTTGTCATACTTCATGGTGACCTCAATTTTGCTCCACGCGCCCCTCTTCTCCTTCGCCAGCCTCGCCGCCGACTAGCCCAAGGCAAAGGGCAACGCGCCAGAGCTGCTCGCTGGAGTACGGCGCTCAAGACCACGATGGAAATCTCCTCTGACGAGCCGACACACTACGATCGCCACTCGCACTCCGTTTCCATATTGGATAGGCTCTGGTGCAGTTGGCCTGGGTGGATTATGACCCAGCTCACAGCGGAACCTGGGGCCATTGATTGTCCTGGGCACCTTGCCGGGACCAATGTCAGCGATCATGCGGCGCACGTGGTGAAGATCACGCAGCGATCTCTTCGGCCTGCTCATGCTCATCGAATCTCGCGGTACCTGTTTGAAAGTGATGAATTCCAAAAGCAGCTCAAGACGGCACGCGGCAAGCTCAACTATGCAGACAAGAGCCCCCCACGTCAGATCGAACTACACAAGTGGGCCATTCGCGAGGTTGCTGTCGACCTTCGTGATCGGCTTTTTCACAAGGCGCATGAGGCCAATACGACGCTCCTGCTACTTGCTCGGCAAATCTCTAGGTTGGTTTGGCGGAGCGACCGCATGCCGGCTCTCAAGTTGCTGACCAACCATACTGCGGCCTACGACTTCTTAGACATTCAGCACAACATGGTCCGTCTACGCCATCCCGCCTCCTTTCAACGCTGGTGCGGTGAGATTCAACGTCGGCATGCTGATCAACTTCGCGCTCGACTTGAGGTACGACTTGCCCGACCTCGTGCTCCTCAGGCTCTGCGTCATCAGCTTGCTGCCGTGGAACGGCGTTCGGGCATCTGGTATCCTCTCAATCGCAGGTTGGTGTTGCGTGCGGTGAAGCACCCGTCTGACCCGACCTGCGCCTCCAGCGACTCCGCGACCATGACAGACCGCCTGATCGGGCATTGGGCCCCCCATCTTTAAGGCCAGGCCGATCGATCTCTGCCTGGCACAAGCATACATCGAACAGCATGTTCCGCTTTTGGACTTCTTCAAGGCTGAGCCGCCATCTCCCGCCCTCTTGCGGCGCGTAGCTAACAAGATGCACTGCTCTGAACCTGGGCTAGACTCCACCCCTTACTCGGCTTGGGCGGCTACCGACGTTGGGATCAATGTGCTTTCGGACGCTATGATATGGATTATGCAGGGCCAACCCTTTTTTAAAAGCCCAAATGACACGCTTCAGGTTTGGCTGTCCAAGGGCGAGGAGATCGAATACTCTCTGGCTACTGGTTGCTCCCGCTCCCCTGGGGCGGTCCGCGTGCTGGGCTTGCGGAACACATACATTAAGGTTACCACCGCCAATGTCAACATCCAGTTCAGCAAGTTGCTCATGGATTGGGCACCCCGATGCCAGAGGGGCTTCATCCCCAAGCGGAACTTTGGAGTCAACATCCTCGAGCTCGACGTTGCTGCCCGCACGTGCTCTAATTCCCCAGCGGCAAGCGCTGACCTTCCTGCTCTGGTTGCATTGGACTTCGGCGCAGCCTTCCCGAGTCTGGCGCAGTCCTTTATGTTGTTGGCCTTTCGGCAAATGCAGGCTCCCTGCGCGTTCCTAGCTATCTTGGAACAGCTGTACCATATCCTAGACGTTACCGTTATGAAGAATGGGCTCCCTGCACTTGCGTGGCGCATCTCATCTGGTATCATTCAAGGATGGTCACTCAGTGGATCGTCATACGCGGCAGTGACGGCATGCCTTTTCTTCGACCTTCAGTCGCGGATGGAGGGCCCACGGCTTGGCCTTGCACGTGCTTGTGCTGACGATATTGGATGCGTCGTCAAGCAGCTTCAGGCACTCCGCATCCTTGCTGACGTGATGCAGACAGCGGAGAGGATCGCCACGCTTGTGCTCAAGCTCACCATGTGCCTGCTTGTGCCGCTCCACGCACAGTTCAAGGAGCAGATGGCTGCCTCCATTCATGAACCGATCCGTGATATTGTCCCCTTCTTTGCCGATGTTCAGGCGTTTAGCCCTCTGATTTGCCTTGGCCTTGTCCTGGGCCCTGCCGCAGATGAGAGCTCATGCTGGCTGGCGCCCTCTATCAAAGTGAAAGCGAGGTCGATATTGGTAGGCACGAGCCCGCTCGCGGTCTCGCGGCTTGCGGTCAACTACGCTACAAGAATTGCCCCCGTGCTCTCGTACGTCGCGCAGTTCCGCATGATGCCCAGCTGGCTTCTCCGCGAAGAGCCGGTGGCCCTTTCCAGGACGGTCAGGATCCCTCTCGGCACCTTCAACAGCTCTGCCTGGCTCCAACTTCGAAGCGCTGGTGGTCCATCGGTTCCCTCATGGCTTGCCATGAGCATTGGGGCCTTGATCAGGACTACCCGCACTACGCTCCCTGAAATTCAAAGACTACATGATTGGATGTATCGCCAACACCAGCAGCTAGGCGGCCTTCGTGTGCTTTCTCAAGATCTTACTAGTGGGGTGCGGCCGTATCCACACTTTGGCAATCTGAGGCCTTTGTCGAAACGCTGGCCAGAGTCCGAGACTGCTCTGCTTCCAACATCTCCCCTGACTACTCGCAGGCACACCTGGCCTCAGCCAATGCAGAAGCTGATCGATGGCAAGCATTGCCGACCACGTCGATGCGCTTGCAACGATGCGTTACCAAGATGATCAAGACACGCATCTGCCACCTCCCGCTGTGGGCCTTCTTGGGGGCTCGTCTCATCAACCGCTTCCTTGAGCTGAGGGTGATTGGCGGCTTTCATGTTCCTGCGCAGCGTTGGGTGCACATATTGCAATATCTTCGCGGATGCTCACTTCCATGGGCCTTCGCTTACCTCAAGACGGTTGCCAATGGCTGGGCGACTTCGCACATAGTACTACAGCCACACGGGCGCCTCTCGTGCCGATTTGGCTGCCCGCGCGAACCTGATGCTGTTCACCACTACTTACAGTGCCAACCATTTCGTTGCCTTCTGGAGCAGGAGCTTGGTTACTCGCGGCCCTCCTCACCGCTGGGTCGTCTGGGGCTTGTGGGCTCGGCTGCTGAACTGGACAAGATCGTCTTTGACGTCGCTGTGATGTACTACACACATATTGGTGCAGCACACTCGTCAGCCGCTCACGTTTGGAGGCGAGAGGCGGCGCGCTCCTTTGTCAAGGCAGCTATCCGCACTGCACAGCTAGGTGCTACTGCGCCATCGAGAGCACTCCCGGGGACAAGGTGTGCTGGGCGCGCGCGACCTGGCAATAGAATCGAAACATCATGTTCTTCCTCATCCTCGTTTTCGTCCTCCTCGTCCTCTTCTGGATCTTCCTCGCCACCATCGAGCGACATACCCCCTTCCTCACCATCAACACGGATTATCGAAATCATTGAAGGCGCTTCTGCTCTTGCTGAGGGTTCGTCTTCTTCGGGCTCTTCACCGAGATCGTCTCTGTCTCTCCCGTGCTGCCTTCCATCAGCGCTGGCGTCTGCTTCCTTTACTACGGACAAGAACGATTTGGGGGTGTCACTCGTTTGTTATCGTGACAGAATTGGCTCTGGTTTACAGATGGGTGGGAAACAGATTGATGAGGTGCTCCCAAAGGCGTGGCGCTCCGTTTCCCGTTGCTCCTCATCACCGGTTTGCTTTATGGTACGCCCGCAGAGTATCGCGGCTCAAGCTGGGATATCCATTGACTTACCGCCTATGATCGCCCTCGCTCTGGGCTTCCTCTTTCAGCCTGCGGCTGTCGCCTATGGGGCCACTGCCAGCACTTCATATACAACAACGACGAGCACTGCTTCTCCATCGCTAGTACCATTGCGACCAATCGTGGGACGCCGTGGGACTACTACTGAACCACACAACCTCGCTGGTGGGCAGGAACTGGATGTTGGTAGCGACACGCCATCCACGACTGCACTTCCCGAGGTGGATCTTCCTGCGCTCTTTGAATCCTCTGTCCCGCCAGCGGAGGAGACAGGCCTTCCTATCGCTGCTCGCCGTCAGGCGCTTGAGGACAGAATTGTTGCGTGGGCTCGCTCGTGGATCCCCACGCTGATGGTGAACATGTGCGGCTCTGACTTCGATCAATGGATGCAATGGTGCCCTGAATATGTGGAGGACGTTCTCAGGTATGATGACATGCAAGGCCTCTGCGGCGACTCCGCGAGCAGGCGTCAGCTCTCTCTTGACTGGTGTCTCAGTGGGTGGCACCACAGCGCTACTGCTCGTGAGCAATTACGACGTCTGCTCATTCACCCTTGGCCTGTACATGATGATAAACGGACGCGTCGGCTACGCTTGCCTGCCATGGCACACCTGAAAAAGCTTGGGTGGCGTGCCGACCCGTCACGCATGTCAGCTGCCGACCGAAACGACTACCTCGCGCAGATCGCCTTGGCTCCGCCGTTCGTTCCTCCTGCGCTCATGCCGCGCCTCTACGTCCCGCCGCGTCTGCTCATCGACTTGACGTCCGAATCTCACGCTCAGGGCGAACCGCCGCTTGATGAAGATACCGCCAGCATCGACCACGAGGGTGTCCCGAACCCCTCCGACTTGGATCTCGCCCTCATGGTGGAGGGCGAAGGTAAAGGCGACCTCTCGCCAAGCCAGGAGGTGGACATCGCCATGCGAGATGATGAACATCCACCGCATCCTGGATCACAGCTCAGCGATGATGAATTTGAAAGACAGCATCTTCGTGCGCTACGACGCTCTCGTGCTGATGCCGACGATGGCCTATCTCCCGACCCTGCAGCTGGGTCCTCGGGCGATCCCCCCTCGGCCTGCGCCCCCCCCCCCCCCCCCCCCCTGATCCCGCGACGCAGAGCACTAGCAGCTCGTCCGGTGGGTCAGCGAGTGCTGATGACAATGTTGGTGCAATGATCGCTTCGCACAGGTTCGGCGTCATCTACCCTGGCGGCCCCGTGGGGGGCGCCCTTCGAGCTGATCGTGCCGTTCCTCCTGTCCTAGTGCCTCCGCCTGGGGACCATCCCCCCCTGTCCCTGGAGCGGCCTCCGAAGATCTCCCTGGCCCACAAGAACTGGGTGCTCCACCAGTTGATTGACTCCCACCTGCTTTTCCTGCTCCTGAACACGCTCTTCATGGAGAGGGGGACGGCCACGCTGAAGAACTACCACCACGCAGGATGCATGCTCCTGCCGCTCTTCCTGCCCCTGTTCATGACACCCAGATCAGGAACACGTGCGCGCATGTGGACGTGCTGATGGGAGCTACTGGCCTTCTGCCGCACACGTTGCTTGCTCTCCAACTGGCTCTTGAGATCCTAAGCCAAGGTATTGACCCGCGCCTGGCATCGGCAGCTTCCTCTGCGTCTGCTCCATATGCGGCTGCCGAGGGTGCTCCTGCGTCGGCCGACAACCTCTCGCAGCATGACAAGACCTCCAACCAGCAGGTCGAACACGCGACGAGGGCATTTGACATTCTATACCCTGTTCTACAATAATCTAGCCGTGAACTGATACGGTGGATGCTGCTACACCCGGATTCCTTCGTCGCCTCCCATGGCGAACTGCCAGCTGACCTTGTACGTGGTCCTCTTCCTGCGCCCGAGCTTGCACATCATGCTCCGCCCTCTCATGGAGATGGTCAAGCTGGCACCTCCGCCAGGGGTGAAGGTGCCTTCCCCGACTACGCGCCCTTCGATCCTGCTGCGCTGGACGCTATCGGGTGGTCTCGTTGGCCTCCCCTCCCGCGGCCTTCCCCGACTTCGACCCGTCGGGCATGGGCAACAGCGGGACTGGTGATGCTGCGCCTGAAGATGGTGGCACTGTTCCTGGTCACTCCTCACTGGTCGTCGACGCGTCCGGCGGCCCCCTCGCCCCCTTCGTCCCCGCCGACGACGCCCTGGACCTCTTCAGCGTGAGCCTGAGAGGCTCTGCGCCCGCGCGCGCTCAGCGGCCCTAGGCGGGGCTGACCTTGACCTTCTTCATGGACGCTCGCTCGCTCCTCCTCCTCCTCCTCCTTCTCCTCTTCCTCCTTTCAGATGGTTTCGGAGCCCGAATATTGCCCCGACTCGCAAGGAGGGTCATGCATTCTCTTGCACGCGACTGGCCCCCGCCCACCGCGATGGCCATGGACGGTGACAGGTCCATATTGAGACAATTGGTTCGGCATCCATCGTGTGCAGACCCAGCTGACACCTTACGCATCCGTCGGGGGCTGCGACCCGCGCAATTGTCGCCGCCTTCGTGGGCTCCTGGGAGGCCCAACGGAGTGTAGTGGTACGCGGGCCCAGCCGAGACTTCGCGGTTCCCTGGGGGGCTGCGAGCTGCGCAATTGTCGCCGCGTTCGTGGACTCTTGCGAGGCCAAGCGAAGTGGGATCGCATGCAGGATCGGTGGGGACCTCGCGGCTGCTTGGGGGGTTGCGAGCTGCGCAATTGTCGCCGCGTTCGTGGACGCTTGGGAAGCCCAGCGGGGTGGGGTGGTACGCAGGATCGGTGGAGACCTCGCGGCCCCCTGGGGGGCTGCGAGCTGCGCAACTGTCGCCGCGTTCGTGGACTTTTGGGAAGCCCAGCGGAGGGGGATGGTACGCAGGATCGGTGGAGACCTCGTGGTTCCCTGGTGGCTTACGAGCTGCGCAATCGTCGCCGCCTTCGTGGACTCTTGCGAGGCCAAGCGGACAGGGGTGGTACGCGGACTTGGCTTGGGGGGCTGCGACCCGCGCAAATGTCGCCGCGTTCGTGGATTCCTGGCTTAGGACGCCCAGCGGAGTGGGGTGGTACGCAGGCCCAGCCGACAACTTGCGGTTCCCTGGGGGTTTGCGAGCTGCACGACTGTCGCTAAGTTCGTGGGCTTTTTGGGAGGCCCAGCGTGGTGGAGGAGTACGCATATCCACCTTGGACATCGCGGCTCCCTGGGGGGCTGCGAAGGGCGTGTCCTTCATCAGTTCTTTTGTATCGAGCCTTCCTTAGTAGAGCCGCCAAATGTTTAGGAAATGGTTGGGTACGTCGCAACAAACAATCCACCCCTCCACTTCGAGGTGTCCTGAGCTGGCCCCGCTGCTGGTCGCGATTGAGTATATCACGGCGCTGGAGGGCCCTTTCTGGAGGAACCGGGAGGTCAACACACTCACAAGCGGAGCACGAAAACGCGACTTTGTTCGGTGTACTTTGCAGATATGAAAATATGAGAATGTGCCACGGAATCAGGGGCAGCGTTATCCTTAATCGGCCCGCCCAGGCACTACTGATTTCGCTAACGAGCCCATGGCCGATCAATCGGCGATGTATTGCATATTCAAGAAGGATGCTCGCCCCTCCCCTGAGCTGGGTCCCCCTACCGTCCCCCTTCGCACAGGCGCGCTTTCCGTTCATACTCACTGTGTCGCGTCGTTGCTTCCACCTTGGAGGAAGATCCGCGGACGCGGACTGTCCTACAGCTATTCTTTGTCCCACAGCCTGGAGACGGGCCGCATCAGCTTTGGCCTCTTCAAGGCGCGAGGGTCTATGGGAGACCAGCAGGCGGACGAGGAGATGCGCCCCCCGCGCCGAGAGGCCTTCGCAAAGAAAGTCACAAGGCAGTTCGCTGCCTGGGCCCGATCGCCAGCCCAAACGGCGAGCAAATACGCACTTGTATGTGCTATATAGTCGTATGCTTATTGCGAAGGCCTTACGGCCAGTGCCGCCGACCCTGGAGGCATCGACCCTCGACGGAAATGGGAGGGAGAGGGCGGGCCGGGAGGGTGGTATTCTGACCCGGGACCAGCCCCAGGACCCCCCCTCGGGCCCCCCCCCCTGGGACCCCCCCTCCGCGCTGAAGGGATCAAAGGCAATGGGTTTCCCTTCGACTCAATGGCAACACTGCTTCATTTCGCTGTGGATGGGCTGGTGTGTTTCGCTTTGGCTGGCGTGCTTGAGGACGAGGGCCCAAGGAAAGGGACGGAGCGGCGACGGATTCAGGGGAAGGAGGGGTCATGATGGTGGCGGCGACGCGACGGCGGCAGTCGGCGGATTTGAAAGGTTATTTGCGTAGTCAGTGGGCAGTGAACTATGCACGCGCGCACACACACACATACACACAGACATGTCTCTCTCTCTCTCTCTCTCTCTCTCTCTCTATATATATATATATATATACGTATACGTATACGGACAGCCCCCCCAGCACCCATTCCTCGCCTTCTTTCTCTTGGTGCTGTTATACAATCCTAGTCCTTTCCTTTCCTTTCCCTTCCTTGCTACACTCCCCTTCCTTCCCCCCCCCTTCCTCGCTTACATCTTCCCCTGGCGTCAGCGAAAGCCTTTTTTCGCAACCATCCTGTGGTGTTGGGTCCTCGTTTTGAAGAGACGGTGGCCCGCGTCTCCTCTCCTCCTCTCCTCCTCCCCCTCCTTCCTCCTCCCTCCTCCCACCATCATCATCGTTATCATCATCATCATCATCATCATCATCATCATCATCATCATCATCATCATCATCATCATCATCATCATCATCAGCATCATCATCATCATCATCATCATCATCATCACCATCATCATCATCATCGTCGTCGTCGTCGTCGTCGTCGTCGTCGTCATCATCACCGTCATCATCATCTTCGTCATAATCCTCACGACCGTCCTCATCACCATCATCGTCATCATCATCGCAGTCATCACCACTATCACCTCTCACACGTTCCGTGGCCCCATAGGGAGCTCCACCGAATGCCCCAGTGCGTGTGCCCGCATGCGTCCCGCACACCCATTTCGGCACACCCCTCACACGTTTCGTGGCCCCATAGGGAGCTCCACCGAAGGTCCCTGTGGGTGTGCCCGCATGCGTCCCGCACATCCATTTCGGCACACCCCTCACACGTTTCGTGGCCCCATACGCAGCTCCACCGAAGGCCCCAGTGCGTGTGCCCGCGTGCGTCCCGCACACCCGTTTCGGCACACCCCTCACACGCTTCGTGGCCCCATAGGGAGCTCCACCGAAGGCCCCAGTGGGTGTGCCCGCATGCGTCCCGCACACCCATTTCGGCACACCCCTCACACGTTTCGTGGCCCCACACGCAGCTCCACCGAAGGCCCCAGTGCGTGTGCCCGCATGCGTCCCGCACACCCATTTCGGCAAACCCCTCACACGTTTCGTGGCCCCATAGGCAGCTCCACCGAAGGTCCCAGTGCGTGTGCCCGCATGCGTCCCGCACACCCATTTCGGCACACCCCTCACACGTTTCGTGGCCCCATAGGGAGCTCCACCGAAGGCCCCAGTGGGTGTGCCCGCATGCGTCCCGCACGCTCATTTCGGCACACCCCTCACACGCTTCGTGGCCCCATAGGCAGCTCCACCGAAGGTCCCTGTGGGTTTGCCCGCATGCGTCCCGCACACCAATTTCGGCACACCCTTCACACGTTTCGTGGCCCCATAGTGAGCTCCACCGAAGGTCACAGTGGGTGTGCGCGCATGCGTCCCGCACACCCATTTCGGCACACCCCTCACACGCTTCGTGGCCACATCGGGAGCTCCACCGAAGGTCCCAGTGGGTGTGCCCGCATGCGTCCCGCACACCCATTTCGGCACACCCCTCACAAGTTTCGTGGCCCCATACGGAGCTCCGCCGAAGGCCCCAGTGGGTGTGCCCGCATGCGTCCCGCACACCCAATTCGGTAAACCCTTCACACGTTTCGTGGCCCCATAGTGAGCTCCACCGAAGGTCCCAGTGGGTGTGCCCGCATGCGTCCCGCACACCCATTTCGGCACACCCCTCACACGCCCGCATATGTCGTTTCAGCCAGTAGCAGGCCGTTTCAGTTTCGGCCGTTGAGCGCGCAACATACGGCGCAACGAATAGCCTTCGGGGGACCCTCGTCGTCTAGCGGCAGGCCGCCACGAGGTCGGGAACGGCAAGAAGGAGGACGACGATTGTTGGCTGGAGCTCTATGCGCTGTTCTCGCGCGCCACGCGCCACGAGGACCTCTTGCTCATGCGGGCGCCGCGCGTCGAGTTCTTCATGACAGGGCCGCCGGAGGGCCTGCGAAAGCAGCTGGAGCACTTTCCGGCGCGCACGAAGCGTTGCAGAATGGAGGCGACGGCCCTCGCCAGGGAGCTCAGCTTCACCGAGTTTATCCGCGAGGCTTGACAGCCTGAGGATCGCCCCGCACGAGCCGCGCCTTCTCTTTCGACTGTCCAACTACTAGTCTGGCCTCGCGCCGCGGACGACCCGCGCGCGTCGCTGGGACCTCTCGGGGCGACCAGCGTGCGTCGTGGGAGCTCCGTGCTGCGTTCTGCCCAGCGCCTCGCTCGCCCGTCGTCGCTCTGCCCAGCGACCAGAGCCTTGCCCGCTGTCAGCCGGCCAGCTAGCTCTTCTTGCTCCGCGCAGCGGACGACCCGCGCGCGTCGCCAGGACCCCTCCAGGGCGACCTGCGCGCGTCGCGGGGACTCCGCGCTGCGCTGCGTCCGCAGCTTTGGATTTTTGGAGTGCGCAGGCAAAGAGGGAGGAAAAGAAGGGGCGGAAGCGGGTGCGATCCTCGTGAGGGGCGTGCCGACATGGGCGTCGCGGCGCGCGGGCGCTGCCGTCGGGGTTCCCGCGGAAGCTGCCCGCGGCGGCCACGCTCAATGCCACGAGTGGTCGGACAGGCATGCCCGAACCGTTCACATTCATATACATTCACATTAGGCGTAGCCATGATCGCATCCACGCAAATATACTCACTCTCACGCAGACTCATTCACACTCAGGCTCAGTCACGCTCTGACTCGCCCGCGTTCAGTCTCTCGTAATTCGACCTGCCATATTCCTTTGCGTTGTGTACCCCGCCATAGTTCGGCACACTTCTGATGCGGTTCGTGGCCCCATAGGGGGCACCACCGAATAAGATATTCACAATTGCGGTACTCGAAACTGCATATGGTTGGGTCCTTCGCCCGGCTGTTTTTCGACTCCACTCGCAAGCGAGCCCAACGGCAGCGCACTGTAGAACATTCACCAGGCGCCTTCCCCCGAAGAGGAAACCCAAAGCGCGCAGGGACCATCCTGCATACACGAGGACAACCAAACCCTATGATTGCATTCGGATTTCTGGGATTTCCGGGATGAGAATCACAAAAACCATATGATGTCATTTGGATGTTTGGGAGTTTGGGGATTTGGCACCCCCGAACAAAAATCAACGCTGCAGCCCTCAGGGCTCCGAGTCTCAAACATCCAAACGAAACCACAAGGTTTCATGCCCCCTTGCTTTGAAAACCCTGCGTTTTCACCCGGGCGCTTTGGATTTCTGGGATGAGAATCAAGAAAACCTTGTGATTTCAATACCCTGTAAACCGGAGGTTTGGCAGGCGTATATATTCCTGGTGCCGTCCCGCGTTCGACTACCTCCGTACCTCTGCCACTCAATCGTACTTTCGCTCCTCCGAGCCTGGCGCTGACTCAGTCGCTCTTTCGCTTCCCCGAGCCTCGCGCTGCTCGCCAGGGCTGTAGTGCTGCTGCCTCGCCTGTCGGTTTCGAGTCTCGGGTGGGCCGCCGCGCCTCTCGGTGGCGGCCCGTGCCCACCGTCCGCCCGGGTCCGTGGCGGGATAGCAAGTAACGGCCGAAGGGCAGGCGGGCCCCTGAGGGGACCCAGGGGCATGCGAGGGCCAGGAGCAGGCGGGCCCCCGAAGGGGCCCGCGCGTTTGCGGCCGCAGATTGTGTGTCGCATGGCAGGCGGGCCCCTGCGGGGCCCACGCGCCTGCGGGCTCCCTTGTCTCCGAACCTCGATCGGCGTGCGCCGCGCCATTGTGGGATTCGCGGGGCTGCCGAAGCGGGATGAGACGCGGTGCAATGGCATGGTCAAAGTCCGGCGCCGCGCTCTGTCTCCCGGGGGTCGGTTGTGTGAGCCCCAAGCGCGGCGGCGCGGCCGCGCGGCCGCGCGCGGCGCGCGCGGGGCGTAGCCGCGCGCGCGGGGCGGAGCCGCGCGCGGTTGACTGGTGCGCTGGGGGCGCGCGCACCTAGTCGAAAAGGCTCTGGGTGCGTGCGAGCCCCTTGGCAGTGTGCGCGGCGTGTGCGGCGCGCTAGGATTGGGGCGTGTGCGCGGCTTAGGCTGCATGCGTGGCTGGGTGCGCACGTGGCTGCATGCGTGGCTTAGACTGCATGCGTGGCTTTGGCTGCGTGCAGGGCTTTGGCTGCGCGCGTGGCCTGAGCGCGCGCGTGGCCTTGGCAGTGGCCTTATACGTGGATCTGGCTTCATGCGGGTTCACGCTATACACGGGGCACGCTATGCACGGGGCTCGGGTTCGGGCCGTGTTTGCAGCTGTGGCTGGGCGCGTGGCCCGGGGGAGGGGGCTGGCGACGTCGGGGCCACGCATTGCACGGGCCCCCGTCAAAAATCGCATGCGCGTGAATCCGAGCAGGGGGAATGCAGCTCGCTGTGCAGCCTGCGTGACCGCGCGCGAGCAAGAGCGGTGCGCGCCTTCCCCATGGTGCAGGGTTCGTTGTCCGCGACGCTACCGCGTCTTTGCGACCTGGGCCCGTTCTCAGGCGCCCTTTGCTTTTTGTTGTGGGCGGCTGGGCGAGCCAGCCGCGGTCAAGAAGGATTGGGAAGAGCGGTGGCGGTGCCGGCAGGCGCGCGGATCCGCGGGCGCGCGGCCTCGCGCTACCCGCATGCGGGGGCTCCTGCGCGGGGGGGGGGGCGGTGCCGGGCGTGCTTCGGCGATCTGGCACGCCAGTTCCCGCGCCCGCGAGCGGCCGGTCGCGGCCGCAGCCGGTCCCGTTCGAATTGCCGACGCGGGCCCTCGGACGGTGTACTCGCGGCGACGGTCCCCTTCCCATTTGACCTAGGGGCCGCGGGCCAAGCCCAGCTGCGGTGATTGCCCACAGGGCGCAGGCCAGGACCTGCTGGGTGCGCGGGCAGGGGATGCGCGGGGCGTGCGCGCGTGCGCTGCGTGCGTTGCCGGGCGCGTTGGGGGCTGGCTGCGTGCGTGGCTCGGGCTGCATTCGCGGCTGCGCTCGCGCGCGGGTTGGGAGCGTCGTGCCAGGTAACGGTGGCCGTGGACGGAGCTCGGGCTGCGCACGGGCCTTTGGGCGCGCCGGACGGGGGGCGCCTGCGCGGCGCGCGTGGGGCGTCTCGTCCTTGCAGCGAAACGCGAATCGGGCAAGCAGCGGACGCGCGCCACCATGACGCACGGTTATTCCGACCGCGATGTCCGCGCTCTGCTTGAAGCCGTAGGGGAATCCGCCTTCGCCGGAGCGGGTCGCCGGGCCCAGGCGCGCGGCGTGCGAGGGGGGTGAGCGGGCTGTTTGCGCCGATCTGTGTCGCAGGTGAAATGGGTCATTTTGCGCAGGCGGTGGACGCGGAGCCACGCGAAAGGTCCGTGATGCATTGCGTGGCGACTGCGAGAATGATGGCGGAATGCGTCGGATCGGCGCTCGCCGAAGATTTCGCGGACGCCTCTATCCGCGGGATTGCCGGCCAACTCGCAGCCGTTCAACGCCGGGGAGGGCAAGGGCTGGGCGGAGTTCAAGGTAACTCCTGCCCACCGTGCCCTGGCCCTCCGCGTTCAGGGCCGCGCGCAGGACTCGCGCATGTCTTGCGATCCGCCGTGGGGCCCATGGCTTCGGGGGGGCGTTGCGCAGGGTGTTGCCCCGGGCCCCGCGAGCAGCGGCGACCTCGCGAAGGCGATGGGCGCGATGGCAGAATATGTGCAGGCGTCGCGCGAGCAGATGGATAAGGAGAAGAAGACTGGAGCGGATCAGGGAGGTCGGGCTTGACGCCTTTCCAGGCGAGGCCCTCCCGACGGAGGAGGCCATGCTTCGTTTCGCGAAGGCGCCGCCGGCAGAGCGCGCGCCGGGCGAGCGCGGCGCGGCGTGCGCGGCACAGGCCGCGGCAGCCAAGGGCCGGCGTTATTTGGGGAGCGCCGAGGGTGAAGACTTGCAGTTGCATTTCAAGCCGCCGTGGAGCCGAGATCTGGACATGGCGCTGCGCGATGCCCCGTTTTTCTTGCGCGCGCGGGGGGGGGGGCGCGGTCGCGGCGTTCCGAGGTCTTGCCCGGGGGCTCGGCAGAGAGCCGCGCCAAAGAGGTCGCGGCGGCCAAGCGGGCGGCCATGGCGACGACTGGTGTGGACTTCGCGTCATATGCCGATTTCCAGGACGCGAAGGGGCCCGCGCAACCGCGCGGTGCGCGCGGGGGGCAAGTTTCGGCGCAGTACCGTTCGTGGGCAGGCGCACCTGCTTGAATGGGGAATGCGCTGCATCATCACCCAGGTTTTCACGCCGGTGGTGCTGCTGGCCTACCAATGGCAGCTGAGCCGGATTGCGGGGGAGCACGGTGGGACCCGCACCGCGTATTTCTATGATATGCCATATCGGGGGGGCGCAGCGCGATGCGAACCCCCCCTATCGCAGGCCGCGCGCGCGCTGGAGCAGGGCGCGGGCGGCGTTGATGCGCTGCTGTGCGCCCTGGACTGGGACGTGCTCAAGGCCGCCAAGGCCAAGGCGGAGTCCAAGTCTAAGGGAGTCGCAGCGGCGAAGCCGAGGCGGGGTGTGCCGCCCAGTCCGCCGGAGGCCGCGCGGCGATGCGCCGCGTGCCAAGGCGGGCCAGGGGGCGGAGAGTCGTGCGCCTGACAACAGGAGTGTCCACGGGATGTTTCCGTCTGCGTGGCCGCGATCCACCGTGCGCAGGCCGGTCCAGAGCCCGAAGAGGCCGCCCACGGCGTGGGGCGCGGCGAGGTCCCGCTCGCCTCGCGGCGGCTGGGGGTCTTCCGCGCCTGCGCGTGGCTCCGGCGCCGGCAAGCAGCCGGCCGCCAAGAGCGGTGAGAGCAAGTGGGTGCCGTGGAGCGAAGGGAAGAAGAGCGGCCACAAGAAGTGACGGCGCACCGTCACGCCGATTGCTGTTGCATGGAATAATTTGCCGTGGGAAAGCGAGGCACGACGCGCGCGATTGCCCCGTGCGAACCCGCGAGGGGGTCGATCGCGACCGCCGCGGGGGGGGGGGGGCAGGCAGCGTGGGGAGATAGTGTAGAAATTGACGAGCGCTGGGATAGCGAGGCATCGCTGCACCCGGGCGCGGTCGGGGAAACATGCGTTGACGAGGCCCGCAAGTGCCGCCCATGTAGCGGTCGCGCGCGCGCGCGCGTTGCGGCGTTGCAGGGAAATTTGCCGGGGAATAGCGAGGCACGACGCGCGCGCTGGCCCGCGTGAACCCGCGAGGGGGTCGATCGCGATCACCGCGGGGGGGGGGCAGGCAGAGTGGGAAGATAGTGCAGGAATTGACGAGCGCTGGGACGGCGAGGCATCGCTGCCCCCGGCGCGGTCGAGGGGCCTTTCGTTGACGAGGCTCGCCGTTGTCGCCCATGGCGCGGTCGCGCGCGCGGGCCGCGGTGGCGAGGCTTGCGCTTCAGACGCGCTTGCCTTGCGGCAAGCGGTGGAAGACTTGCTATCAGACGAGGAAAGAATCAAGCGGATGTCCCCGCTGGATCACTGGGGGTGGGCCCAGCGCCTCCCCGAGTGCGAGGGGCCCAAGCAGCTCCCTGCTGCATGGGCGGACGCGGTGGGCGCGCGCGCTGCCCTCGAGGGGCGCGACCTGCGCCGCCGCCGGGCGGCCGCCTGGCATTGCTGGGAGAATCGCAAACGGGTGCTGGACCCGGCGTGGCAGGTGGCGGCGCGCCCGCGCGCGCGGCCTCGCCCGTGGGTCAAGCGTCGTTGGAGGCGCATTTTCAGGGGCTTCCGCCTCGCGTGCAAGCCGTGCTGGGGCCGAAGAAAAATCTGTGGCTCTTGCAGGCATCGGGGCTGGGGTGCGGGCCAGCGCGGGGTGGCCGCCCTCTGCGCGCCCGACCCTTGCAGGACATGTTGGCGGCGGCAAGGGTGAGCGATGCGGACGTCGCGCTGCAAATCGAGAGGGGCTTCCCTCTGGTAGGCGAATTGCCAGTGTCGGGCGGTGTGGAGCGGGTGGCGACGGGATTTCCGTGACCCCCTGTCGCCCCACCGCGAAGCGCCGCGCCTGAATGCTGACGCGGTCCGCCGGGTCGCGGGCGATCGCGCCCACGGCGGGGAATTGCGGCGAGAGTTTCTGCGCGAGGCAAGCGAGGAGGCGCGCGGGGAGGGGGCCTTTTCCCGCGGCACCGAGCCGCGCATGTGCGCGCCCGAGCGCGCGCTCAGGTAGAAATGGGCAAAGGCGCATGGTGCCCGTTGGACCAGGCTTGCCGAGACGCGGCGTTGACTCCCAGATTTCCGGTCGATGAGGGATGGCGCTGGAAACAGGAGGGCGGCTGGAGGCGCAAGGCGCGGCGCGAGCCGCCTTTCGGGTCTCTCGCGAGCCGCCTTTTCCGCGGCGCCGAGCCGCGCGGGCCGCCTTTTTCCCGCGGCACCGAGCCGCGCGAAGCGAGAGCGGCTTCTAGCGATCGCAGCAGGTGCGCGTAATTGATGATTTCTCGGCGAGCTTGATTAATGAGTGTACCGCGCCGACGGAGCGTATCCGGATGGAGACTCTCGATGTGCTCGTCAGCTTGGCGCGGGCTCTGCGGGGCCGGGGGCCCTTGAGGCTCCGCAAAGAGGATTTCGTGCGGGCATTCAAGACCCTGCCGCTGGCACTGTCTGCCCTGTGCATGGCGGCGGCCGTCTGGGGGGAGGCGGCGCAGGAGGGCTGGGCACTGCAGCTGTGGTGCTGCCCGTTCGGTGCGGTGGCGAGCGTGTATGCCTGGGAGGCGGTTTGGAGGCGCTGTGCAGGTGCGAGTGCCCTCTTCCTCCCCGGAAGCGGCGGGGCGCGCCGCGCGCGCTGCAGGCGATCCTGGGCCGGCTTTTCTTCGCCCCAACCGGGAGATTCGTGGGCGACTTGTTCGGAATCGACCCGGAGGGAGGCTGGGCGGAGGGGCCCTTAGCGGGGGCCGCTGGAGCATCTCGGGCGACGCGCTTCGTAATCGAGACTTTGTTGGGCTGGGAATTGGACGAGGAGAAGCGCGCGTCGTCGGCCGAGTCGGCCGAGGTCCTGGGCGTAACGGTTACGGTAATCAATAAGCCGGTGCGCCACTGTCGCGCCCCGCTGGTCGACCGGGGGGGGGCGCGTGGTCGGCCGGCTCGCGAGTTTTGTTGCGCAGGAACAGGCGCTGGCTTTCAGCATCCCGCCTAAGGAAGTGGCCAAGTGGAGGAGCTCCATTGAGCAGGTCCTCCAGTCTGGCCAGCTGTCGCCCGCGGGCGCGGCCAAGCTGGCGGGAATGCTTGGGCGGGGCGCTTCCGCCGTCTTCGGCAGGGGCGCCCGCGTTTACTTGGCTCCGCTTTTCCATTGGTCCACCGGGGGGCGAGCGCTGTTGAACACGCGCTTGAGGCGTGCGCTCGAATGGTGGCTGCGATTCTTGGCTGCCGCGCCCCAGCGGCATGTCCCGCTGCGGTGGCGGGCAAAGCAGCGCGTGCTTTTTTACTCGGATGCAACGGGCGGCGGCAGGTCGCGTGCGTTGCGTGCCGCCCCGCCCCCGCTGCCGGGTGTGGAATGGCGCGAGGTTGGCATGGGTGGTCGATGACGGCTCCCGGAGAAGGTGTGCCGCGGCGGACGTGCCTGCGGCCCTGCGGGACTGGGTGGCGCGCCGGAAAGTGCAGGCCCCCGCGCGCGCGGCCGCGAGGGCTAGGGAGAGCGATTAGTCCTCCTGACAGGGAGGGCGAGCCTCGCTGTGAAGATTGGAGCGCATGGCGCACTGCGCTATGCAATGCAGAAAGAAAAACATTCGCCTGGCGAAGGACCCAACCATATGCAATTTTGAACACCGCAGTTGTGAATATCTTGTTCGGTGGCGCTCAGGCTTATTCAAATGGCGAGCTTGCTCCCCAAACTGATTCAAATCTTTTACGCCGCCCAGACTTATTCACACGGCGAGCTTGCTCGCCAAGCTGATTCATAGTAGCTTTAGTTGACCCTCAGCGCCGTCTTTCGAGGATGTCTCAGGCGCGCGGGCATCCTTTTGAAACCATATGCAGCATGTGCGCGGATGGATGGCGATTCCTTTTCAAAACCATGGCGGATTAGGACGATCGGGGTCTGGGGGTAGGAGTAGGAGTATACGAGTAGGAGTAGGAGCAGGAGTGGGAGTAGTACACGTGTCGTGGCCCTATAGAGTGCTGCACCGAAAGCCCAGTGTCACCGCATTCTCCCTCCGCGTCCGCTTAGGCTCAAGAAAGCCGTTTGAATGAGCCTGAGCGGCGTATACCAGTTGGATCAGCTTGGCGAGCAAGCTCGCCATTTGAATAAGATTGGCGAGCAAGCTCGCCGCATGCGTAGGAGTAGGAGTAGGAGTGGGAGTAGGAGTATGGGACAATTAACATCAGAAGACTGCCCAATCTGGCTTCCAGGACGGCCAAGATTGCCCAAGTTCGTCCACGGCCAAGACGGCCCAATATGGCTTCCAGGACGGCCAAGACGGCCAAGGAGTACGGTCACGACGGCGCCCAAGATGGCCCAAGAACGCCTCAGGGTTTTTTTTGACATGAACTGCGAGGCGAGATATTAGCACCGCGGCACAGGCCCCACAGTGAGGTCATCCCTTTGTGGGTGCCGTCCCCTGCAGATACGATCGAACAAAGTTCTCAAACCTCGAACATGGCTGTGAGCGACATAGGAATAGCAACGGATACAAACTGCAATAACCATGCCATTCGAAACGGGAATTGCGACAGGCACGTGACTCCCGCAAAACTGGGCCGTCAAGACGGGAAACATCGTCACAAACACCAGGCGGGGGGGGGCGGCATGACCCCGTTTCAGTCCACCCACTTGGTCAGGTAGTTGATCGCCTTGAGTGCCGCAGCGACCTCCGCAGGATCACACTTCGAAAGATGAGGCGTAGTCCCACGACCAAACTTCGGTAACGTCATCGTCTTCCCATGCGAGGTTTGAAATATACCAGATGACGTTGTGCGCCCAGCCAGTCTTAGGATCAACCCAGACGCCACGGTAGGACGTTTTCCACATTTTGATATGCGTACCTTGTTCTTCATTGTAGTGCCACTTGCCGCCTCCTCCAGTCGACCACTTGATACGTTTGTCGCCTCCTCCAGTCGACCACTTGATACGGTCGTCATTGTCGCCTCCTCCAGTCGACCACTTGATACGATCGTCATAACGACGCTTTTCCATAGTGGCACGGGCAGGTGCGTTCGATACCGAACACGCGGGAAGCTGACAGCACAAATGGCTGCGGCTGATGATGATGATCGCGACGATGGCATGACGATGGCGATAATGGCAGTGACATTGACAGGTCAAGATGACGATGATGACATTAATGTTGCCAGCGTGCTGAAAACGCAACACGTCAACTAACCATCAGCCGAACAGTTACTCCTACTCCCACTCCTATGCTCCTACTCCTACTGATGTTCCTACTCCTACTCCGACTCCTCCTCCTTCTCATACTCTTTATACGCCTACTCCTAATTGCGGGACGCATGTGGCGAGCTTGCTCGCCAATCTTATTAAAATGGCGAGCTTGCTCGCCAAGCCTATTCAAATGGTTTACGCCGCTCAGGCTTATTCAAAGGGCGAGCTTGCTCGCCAAGCTGATTCATCTTAGTTTTTGTTGACCCTCAGCGCCGTCTCTGCGGACCCCCAGCGCCGTCTTCGCGGGCCCCAAACCAACGGAAACACTGTCGGTGGAGCTCCCTGTGGGGCCACGAAGCGTGTGAGGGGTGTGCCGAATTGGGCGTGCGAGGCGCATGCGGGCGGCATGGCACTGGGGCCTTCGGTGGAGCCCCCCCCCCCTTCCCCCCCCCCCCATCCCCCCCCCTATGGGTGTGCGGGGCGCTTGCGGGCGGTGGCACTTGGGCTTTCGGTGGGGTTCCCTATGGGGCCGCGAAACGTGTGTGGGGTGATGGCGATGATGGTGATGATGACAACGATGATGATGATGACCATAATGGCGATGACGATGATGACGACGATGATGATGGGAGGTGGAGGGTGAGAAGGAGGATGAGGAGAGGAGGAGGAGAAGGAGGAGTGAGGACGCGGGGCGATGTCTCTTCAAAACGAGGACCCGACGCCACAGGACGCAACGCTGAAATACATAGCTCTACATATTGTTTTAACTTATTGAGCCTACGCCATGGCAACAGCGAAGACGACGACGACGCCGCCCCTTGGATATTGGGTGTAAGTCCCTATGGGGCAGCGAAGCGTGCGTGGAGTGCGCCGAAATATGTCACTTTCCCCATCGATAAAAAACCTGCAAATTTCAGAAATCATAACACATATCAACATGTTCAACAGAAAGCAAAAATACAAGAACACAAAACAAAAAAACGATGGAAAACAACAAAACAAACAAAATCAGAAAACAACATACACAAATATTTGTTTATAAGAAATACATAAAACATAAAACAATATGCTAACCAAGTTGACTAACTAGGTTAGCTAACCTACTTATCACTTGGTTGTTTCCTATTTAGCTAACCGTGAAAACCTGTTTAGCTAATCGCGATAAGCACTTACATAAGTTAGCGCTAACGAATTTAGTAAGTGCTCTATGTGATCATGAAGTGCTCTATCTGAGTCACTGGGCTTGTAGTTGGTTCACTGAACTTATAAATTGGTTACAGCCAACTTACACGCCAGTTATAATCTATATACTAATCGCGCTAACCGAATCGAAACTGCGGCGGCGATCTCAGCGGGTCCCGGGGCTCGCGCCCGTCCCGGGTCCCGGGTCCCACGGCGGTCGTCCCAGCCGGGTCCCGGGTTCCGCTCGAGCCGGTCCCGGGTCGCTGGTCCCGGGTCTCGCGCCGGTCGGGTCCCGGGACGATCCCGGGTGCCGGGTCCTGGGTCCCGCGCCGGTCCCGGGTCTCGGGTCCCGCGCCGGCCCCGGGTCGCGGGTCCCGGGTCCCGGGGCCGGAAAAACGTCAGCTCGCGTCAGCTCGCGTCAGCCCCCCCCCCCCCCTCGCCAGAGCGAAGCTTGAGCGAGCTCAAGCCCACGCTCTCAGGAACTCACACGCTGGATCGGCGGATTTGGGGTGTTTAGGATTTTTGGGACTTGGCACCTCTGGGATTCATTGGGACTCCTGCAGCCAAAGGTTTTGAAGGCTGTGGCGTTTTTCTTCCAATGTCCCCAAATCCCAAACATCCAAAGCATCCACCTGAATTCATATGGTGTTTGTGATTCTCATCCCAGAAATCCCAAGAATCCAAATGAAATATCAGGGCTCCCCGCCCCCTTGCTTCGCACATCTTATGTTTTCATTTGGATTTCTGGGAGGTGGAGGAGGTGGAGGAGGAGGAGGGGGGGTAGGAAGAGGAGCGGGGGGGAAGAGCGGGGAGGAGGGCGGGCAAGCGTGCCATTGCATCGTGCGAAGCAGGAGCCCTAAGCGCACTACACACAGTGACGCGGCACACAACGGATCAGCTGCATGAGAGATGCGGCGCGAATACTAAAAAACAGTATTGCGCAGGGCGAGAGGAGGGAGATATACGAAGCCACCATTCGCATTCGCAGAGGGCGGGGGATCACGGGGAGCAGCACCGGCAGCAGCAAGGCTAGGCAAATCCGTGGGGGCGCTTGCTAAAGCAAGCATCATGGAGCCACGCCGCTCACGCCAACGCCATGCAGGGCGCCCCGCCCTCTGCGAATGCGAATGGTGGCCTCGGATATCTCCCTCCTCTCGCCCTGCGCAATACTGTTTTTAGTATTCGCGCCGCATCTCTCATGCAGCTGATCCGTTGTGTGTCGCGTCACTGTGTGTAGTGCGCTTAGGGCTCCTGCTTTGCACGATGCAATGGCACGCTTGCCCGCCCTCCTCCCCGCTCCATCCTCTTCCTCCTCTTCCTACCCCCCCTCGTCCTCCTCCTCCACCTCCTCCACCTCCCAGAAATCCAAATGAAAGCATATGGGTTGCGAAGCAAAGGGGGCGGGGAACCCTGCGATTTCATTTGATTTTGTGGGATTTCTGGGATGAGAATCGCAGAAACCATACGAATTCATGCGGATGTTTTGGATTATTGGGATTCGGTGGCCTTGGAAGAAAACAGACGCCACAGCCTTCGAGTGCTTTGGCCGCCGGAACCCCAATGAATCCCAAAGTTGCCAAATCCCAAACATCTGGAACACCCCAATGAAATCACAAGGCTTCCTTGATCTTCGTCCCAGAAATCCAAAGCATCCCGATGAAAACACAGGGTTTGCGAAGCAAGGGGGCGTGAAACTTTGTGATTTCATTTGGGTTTTTGGATTCGGAGCCGTTGGGGTTGCAGCGTTGATTTTCGTTCGGAGGTGCCAAATCCCAAAGCTCGAAAACATCCGAATGACATCATATGTGTCTGGTGATTCTCATACCAGAAATCCGAGAAATCCACATGAAATCATAGGGTTTGGTTGCTCCTCGTGTGTGCAGGATGGTCCCTGCACGCTTTGGGTTTCCTCTTCGGGGGAAGGCGCCTGGTGCATGTTCTACAGTGCGCTG